AAAAATGAGTCATCAGTAAAGGCTTGACCTTAGCAAAAGTGATCAAAACACGTACTTGTCACTGATCTCCGAGATCTTGCTGCTCACCAGATCCAGGTACTGGTCAATCTGAGCCTTGTTCTGCTCGTAGACAATTGGAAGGGAGAAGGCACCGAGGTACGCCAACAGAATCAAGGTAAGGCCATTGAAACAGGCGCCAATGTAGGTGAGAGCCCAGAAGATGAGAAGATACTGGTGAAGAGTAAATCAAGAGTTAGTAAAAAGTTTAAACTTCTCTATGCAGCTGGACAATACCTTCAGTGAATCGACCAGGTCCTCAACGAGAAGAACACTTCGCATTCGGTTAATGAAGCAGGTACCGTGAGCAACAACTGAATCTACAATCTCGTGAATTCGTTCTTGGGGCGGGGCAATTTCGATTTCAAGATACTCTCTGAGGAATAGAAAAAAGGACAAATTAACAACGGTTAACACTAAAGATTGCGTGGTACTCACTTGAAGGGATGTCCCTCATTGGTCTTGTTAACGGCTTGCATGACATTCTTGTAAATGCGGAAGGAAAGGGTGCCCAGAAGGGTGAAGAGAAGCGTGTACGCAACCACAGAGATGACCGAGAAGATGGACAGCGAAAAGAGAATGACCAGGCCGGCGCCAAAAACGACGCCCGAGTTCTTCACATCACGCCAGTAGACGAGTTCAGCAACTGAAAAACAAAGAAACAGTGAATAAGTACCTCTGCCTCTAAAACGATAGTGCTAATTATAAAAGTTGTAACCATTGCGATCACTTATTGAACCGGAAAGTATAAAGCATAAAAACTATTAAATTCTGCCATTTCCGCTCTCACGGAAAATCTGGTTGCTAAGAGAGCAATTGGTGGGAGTGGTTTATGATCACTATGGCTAAAATTAGTAGAGAGAAAATGCTGCTGGTTGCACTTCCAGTCACTATGAAAAAGCAGTGTGTGCAAGCGATGGTGAAATCGACAGTCGAAAATGTGTGCCAGAACAGGATGCGCGCCCGCCAATAATCAATTGTGCTATTTTTAGTCGGCAGTTCTGCCAAGTGGGCAACATCTTCAAAGCTTCTTCATCTGGTCAGAGATAGCAGCAGCATGATCAGTGCAAAGCAGAGCAAAACAAACAGTGAAAGAGAGCAAAGGGAAGAAAAAAGAGAAGCCAACTGAAAAGAGAGTATGAGCTCAGTGTTGGCCAAGTTGGTCAGTCAGTCAGGTCACAAGTGTGACCTCCAAACGAGTGAGTGGTGTCATGAGGAAGCAACAGCACAGCACCGCACAGCAACACAGATAAAAGGAGTGGTGAGATCAG